ATTGGTTAGCTGGGCCAGTGTGTGCTGTGATTGGCAGCACTCTGCGCCTGGTCGGGAAATGTCATGCCCCTTACCATAGCCGTCTGCGAGCTTCAGTGTAAATATTGCATCAAAGTCAAATCAAGTTGAGCGCGATTTAAACCTGGATGATTGTAACCACTCTAAGTTCGTCTGCCTTGGGAAAGCTAGCGTGTCTCCGACATAGTAATAACACTCGTTGCCTTCTCTAGTGCAGCTCAACCAGGTCTCGTCCCATTCGTCGATATTTGTGATATTACAAATCCCAGAAAATATGCGTTGTAGTCCAAACGAGTCGTTCTTTGTAGCTTTTGAAAAGTGATTTATGCTAAATAAAATATCCTTTTGAAGTGGACTTTGAGCTTTGTAACTTTGCAGATATTTTTTATGCTCAAACAGCAACATTACAGACTAACTAAAGTTGAAAAAGTGAAAAAGCATAATAGGACCCCTTTAACGAAATGAAAACTTTTTTTCAGCAAGGATGCATTAAATTGATCAAAAGTGACTGTATTTAACATTTATAATGTTAAAAAAAGATTTATATTTCAAATAAATGCTGTTCTTTTGAACTTTCTGTTCATCAAAGAATATCTAGGGGGGGGGAGAATGAATCATGGTTTCCACAGAAATACTGCAGAACTGCTTTCAAAATGCTGTTCTTTTGAACTTTCTGTTCATCAAAGAATATCTAGGGGGGGGGGAGAATGAATCATGGTTTCCACAGAAATACTGCAGAACTGCTTTCAACATTGATAATAATAAAAAATCTTTCTTGAGCACCAAATCAGGATATTAAAATGATGAAGAATCATGTGACACTGAAGACTGGAGTAATGATGCTGAAAATTCAACTTTGCCATCATGGGAATAAATAACATTTTAAAAAATATTAAAATAGAAAACAGTTATTTTAAATTGTTATAATATTTTCACAATATTGCAGTTTTTACTGTATTTTTGATCTAATAATAGCAACCTTGGTGAGCATAAAAGACTTTCAATTAGAATTTTTTTTTTTTCATTGTAGAATAGAAAACTCAAAGGCACCTTAACAAGTGAAGTTTTTTCCCCTGCCATTACATATTTCCAAGGTAATCATGATTTTCTAGGCAAGAAGTGAAGAAAAATCTGGATACATCCATGAGTGCATGAGTCTAATACTGACAAATACTGTACATTTTTAAAGTGTACATAGGCTAAAATTAATTAGAGTCAAATATTAAAAGCAAGTAAACCTTAATATTTAAACGTGCTCCACAAATACTAATTCAGTGAACACGTTCTGTCAAACACAACTTTAACGGAAAGAGTTAACATGAGAGAGAAGGACTTTATGCAACAGGAAATCAGAGAGAGCCTCCATCACTGCCAAGAGGAGCTGAGAGAAAAGGAGCAGCTGCAGGGGCCGCTCAGCCAAATCAATAAAGAGAACTTGAGCACTTCGCCGTCTACAAATTCAGTAGACGCAATGAAAGACTGCAGGTTTTAAAAGCCAACAAATTCAATACAAAGAGGTGGTCTGGGACTTGAAAATGGCTTTTAACTAACAAAGCCAAAGGCATGATATGTGGTAGGGAGCATTAAATAAATCTAGTGGTTATAAAGAAAGATGGATATCCATGATATGGAGAAAAAATAGAACAGACGTCATAGAATGGGTCTCTAATATAACTTAAATCATATTAAGCATCAACATTTGGTCAAAATGGAAATATAATAATTTGTATTAATGCATTTTTTTTAGATTTCAGTGCAAAATATGGTTATAAATGGTCCATGGTCTGAAACCTTTCAGTGGATCTGTTCCTGTCTTTCTCAAATATATCAAATAATACATTTAAGGAAGCACTCAGAAGGAACATATAGCCCTTATCTTTCCCTCAGTAGAGAAGACTTTATAGGTTTATCAGTGAAAAACATGTTTTATCCTTTACAAAGCATCTGGCTCAATGATTTAAAGGTTGTGCTTTCATATAAAATAATCAGCAATAAAATGATTGTTGATATGTACAGTAGAGTTCAAAATATTGGGGTCAATAAGATATTTTTAAAGAATACTTTTATTCAAGAAGGACACATTAAATTGATCAAAAGTGTCAGTAAAGAGTTTTATAATCTTACAAAACATTTCTTTTTCAAATAACTTTCTATTCATCAAACAATAATTTTTTTTCATCAACCAATTCTGGAAAAAAAATGTATCACTGTTTTCACAAAATATTAAGCAACACCAATTTGTTTTCAACATCAATTTATTAATAAGAAACGTTTTTGAGCAGCAAAACAGCATATTAGAATGATTTCTGAAGATCATGTGACACTGAAGTCTGGAGTAATGATGCTGAAAATTCAGCTTTCTATCATAGGATTAATTGCAAGAAAAGAAAAGAAAAGAAAAAAAGAAAAGAAAATGTACTGGTAATTTTTTGCTAGGAGAGTATCCACTAATTTTACAGACATTTATGTGAGCCCTACAACACAACGCAATGAAGTGAAAAATTCAAAATACAGGTAAAACACTTTAAAAAATCAATACAGAAAATTCATTTATTTTTATACAGTACGTTGTGCCCTATTTTTACTGATTTTTTACAGTGTGCATTAAAAAATATATTAAATAGGAAACTTATTATTTTAATTTTATTATAAATTTAAAGCTATTTTTGAATAATATTGCACAATATTACTATTTTTACATTTATCATGTACTGTAACTCGTCGATAACTCAAATTGTGCAGCTTGTTTATAAAGGTCAGACATACATTTTTTTGCCCAAGTGTATGATTAAATAGGAAAAATCTCACAAAATTACACTCAAGGAGAGACCAAAACCACATTTAGACAACAGAATATCATCAAGACTTGCAGATGGCCTCTTTTAACCTTGACCAGTAAGCAACCACCTAGCAACCACATAGCATTTTCCCCTAGAAATCTGCTCTTTAGAGAAACACAGCTGTGAGATGGCTGAAGTGGTGGATGCATGTCTTATAACACGCTATTTTGACTAGACGACTGGCATATTCTCAGGGTCATTAGAAACTCTTATGAGTTTTATAACCAGCACTGCTGGCTGCCAAAGCCTGTCGCCATAGCAACAAGCTCTCTGATGCGGCCTGATGCAGGGGGAGGGGTTTTGTTGCCGCTGTGCGCTTTAAAGTGTCAACACCCACAACACACACTCAAAAACACACACGCTTACACTCTGACAGAAGCTTTTGAGCATTAGTCCATTTTTATTTGAAACTCATAGTAATTCAGCCATTCAGTTTCTGCTTCAAGAGCTTCTAATGGAGTCTTATTAAAATGTGTTGCATAAGTCAATCTATGTAATTGCACATCTTTGTGGGTGTTACTTAAAAGTGAAGCATATGAAAGTGTTATTAAAATGTTTTTCAGTATCTCTGTAGTGCTATCAAAAAAACAGCCTGACGTAACAACACGGGATCATTAAATGACTCTTAACAACAGAATGTATGTGCGGTTTAAAGGGGTCATAT